AAGAAAAAGAAAAGGAAAAAAAGAAACAAAAATATTCAACAGCTTACCCTTTACAGAAAAGGTTTGCTAACTCCTGAGTCAACCTTATCAAGACAGTAAGTATAGTATTGGTAAAAAGACAGACACATAGATCAATGACACAAAATAAAGACCAGAAATAGACTCACACAAATATGGTCAATTGATTTTTTACAAGGATATTAAGATAATTGAATGGAAAAAACTCTTTTCAACAAATCGTACTGGACCAATTAGATGACCATATGCAAAAAAAAAAAAAAACAAACCAAAAAACTGAACTTTTGTTGGAAGACAATTCTCATACTTCTCAGTAGGTCTGTCATGCATCTTCACATCCTAAGAGTTAGACACTAACCGTCCATTTGTTGCAGACTGTCGTTTGAAGGATGTTTGTCCATGAAACAGAGATAGTGTCTACCTTCAGAGTAAAGGGCAAGTTTGTTTACTGTCCAGATTAAAAATGTAATGTATTATTCTAGGCCAAAGGTCGGGCACGTTTGCATGCAGTCCTTTATGAAAAGACTGCTGTTCCCTAAGATTAGGATTCCTCAGCTGTGATACAAACTCACTGTGTGAACCTGTTTGTACTTCATCCACCTGACCCTTTAGCAGAGCTCCTGTGGAACTTGTGCACAAGGGGAACCAACATAAATCTGAAGTCCATGCTGCTCCCTGGGCTGTGAGTCAGAATGTTCTTTGTCTCTGTGTAGGAGGCTTCTGTCTTTTATCAGCAGCCGTTGAAACTGTGGCACAGTAACTTGTTAGCTTGCAAGTAGGGTAAAGTCTTATATCCTTTATCCCTCTTGACAACCCATACCTTGCATCATATACAAAAATTAACTTGAAATGAATCATACGTCTAAATGTAAAACCTAAAACTTTCAGAAGAAAACAGAAAACGTTCATGTCATTGGGTTAGGCAAAGGTTTCTTAGACCAAAAAGCGTGACTCAGAAGATATAAATCTGTATTTCATCAAAATTTAAAATTTTTGCTCTTCAAAAGACAGGATTTTTAGGGCAGCAAAACTATTTTGTATGTTACTATAATGGTGAATACATGTCCTACACATTCAACAAAATCCATAGGATGTACAACTTCAAGGGTAAACCCTAATGTAATCTATGGACTTTGGATGATAATGATGTGTCAAGGTCACAAATGTAGGGTACTAGATGTTGATAGTTGGAGGGAGGGGAGGTAAGGAGGAGATGGAAACTGTATCTTCTGCTTATTTTTGCTGTAAACCTAAAACTGTTCTTAAAAAATAACATTTGGGTGCCTGGGTGGCTCAGGGGTTTAAAGCCTCTGCCTTCGGCTCAGGTCCTGGTCTCAGGGTCCTAAGATGGAGCCCCACGTTGGGCTCTCTGCTCAGCAGGAAGCCTGCTTCCCCAACCCCACCCCCTGCCTGCCTCTCTGCCTACTTGTGATCTCTGTCTGTCAAATAAATAAAATCTTTAAAAATAAATAAATAAAAAACATTTTTCTTTTTCTTAATGGCAAGGTATCTGAATAGATATTTCTCCAAAGATAGGCAAATGGCCAGTAACCACATGAAAGATGCTCAATATCATTAGTTCTTAGGGAGATATAAAACCACAGTGAGATACAACTCTCTGCCCACTAAAATGACTGTAGTAAAAAAAAGGGTGGGAGGGGAATTAGTAATCGATAGCAAGGACTGGAGAAACTGGAACCCTCATACATTGCTGGTGATTATCTAGAAAGGTGCAGACACTGGCAAACAATCTGCTAGTCCTTCAAAAGGTTAAACACAGACCCAGCAACCCACTATATATCTAAGACAATTGAAAACGTATATCCACACAAAAATGTGTACATGAATATTCACAGAAACATTATTCATAATAGTCCAAATGTAGCAACAACCCAGATGCCCCTCAAATAATGAATGGATAAACAGAATGAGGCATATCCATATAATGGAGTGTTTTCTGACCACAAAAAGGAATGAAGAACTGACACAAGCTACACCATAGAGGAACCTCAAGAACATGATGGAAGTGAAAGAGCTAGACACAAAAGACCACATGCCATACGGTTCCATTTATATTATATGTCCAGAAGAGGAAACCCATAGAGACAAAAAAATAGATTAGTGGTTGCCAGATGCTGGAGGGAATGGGGAGGAATTGCTAAAGGGTATGGGGTATCTTTTGGGGGTAATGAAATGTTCTATATTCAGCTTGTGTTGATAGTTGTGCAAATCTGTGAATATACTAAAACCATTGAATTATATACTTTAAATGGGTGACTTTTATGGCATGTGAATTCAATCCCAATAAAGAGTTTTTGTTTGTTTATTTATTTGTTTGTTTATGGAGATGAGGTAGGGGCACCTGAGTGGCTCAGTTGGTTAAGCACCGCCTTCGGTTCAGGTCATAATTCTGGGGTCCTGGGATCGAGTCCCACATCATGTTCCCTGCTTAGTGGGAAGCCTACTTCTTCCTCTCCCTCTGCCTGCCACTCCCATTGCTTGTGTTCTCCTTATCTGTCAAATAAATACATAAAATCTTTAAAAAAAAAATCTTAAAAAAAAAAAAAAGATTTTTTTTTAAAAGATTTTATGTATTTATTTGACAGAGAGAGATCACAAGTAGGCAGAGAGGTAGGCAGAGAGAGAGGGGGAGGCAGGCTTCCTGCCGAGCAGAGAGCCCAATGTGGGGTTCAATCCCAGGACCCCACGATCATTACCTGAGCTGAAGGCAGAGGCTTTAACCCACTGAGCCACCCACGCACCCCTAAATACATAAAATCTTAAAAAAAAAAATGAGGTAAAGGGGCACTGGTGTGGCTCAGTTGTTTAAGCCTCTGACTCGATTTTGGCTCATGTCATGATCTCAGGGTCATGAAATGGAGACCCACATGAGGCTCCAGGCTCAGTGAGAAGTCTGCTTGAGATTTTCTCTCTCCCTCCCCCTCCCCTGCTGTCTCATGCTTTCTCTAAAATAAATAAATAAATCTTAAAAAGAAAAAAAGTTGAGGTAGGAAAATTGATCCTTGTCTATATATGTACTCCATTCTGAGGAAATCTGAATCATAAAAACATGTTAGAAATAATAACCTGGGCAACAACTGGACTTGTGACAGGGCCTTGTAAAATGTTAATACTAACATTTCTAGACAATTTCACATCTTGAAAGAATAATGTAACAATATCATATTATTTTTAATAATACCTATTTATGCACTTTTGGGTTCTTATAACTCGTATGCATGTTTGAGTATATTTGCATGTAGGTAAATATATGTATGTGCAGATGTCCCATCATTATCCAAATGATGCTAAATAAGCTTATTGCTGGATGACCCCATAGCTTTTTCCCACCCCAGTGGCCAAGTTACCTGTGTGGCTACAGCTGCTGATAACAAAGCCTGGGTTCCTATTTCAGGACCAGCTTCTCACCTGTATAGCAGGTGACCAAGAATTTGGTTCAGAGGAGCCTCATCAATGCCTTTCAAAATTTGGTCAATGGCAGATGCAATCAGTTACCTGGAACCTTGATTCTGAGCATCCAGTGACAGGCCTGGGAATCTGCTATTTCGACAAGTCCCTCAGGGAGTGTGATCTGCACTCAATTTTGACAGCCCCAGCTGTGGGCACCTATTTCTGATTGCTGTGGAGAAGCTGAGACTGTTCATATTCTCCCTGCTTGCCAGGGTGAGAGTGGCATGCCTCCTTATTGCTAACCATAATGGGACTTCACTGAACCTGGTGCTGGGACTGCAGGCACAGACTTCTCATTACACTGCTTGGTATTTCCATGGGGTTTCTGCCTGCTGGGGTCCTGACATCCCATCAGAAGCTGCAGAAGCAGCAGACAGCACAGTTGCCTCTGAACCCTGGATCCTACTCACAATATACTGCAGTGGAGACCTGGATCATGAATTCTAGGCCTGGCTCTATTCTTTCCCCACAACTGATGAGGGATGAGTGGGCATCCTTTTAGGTCAATAATCTTTCAAGGGTGATGGGGGCTCAAGAGATTTCCCAAGTCCCGTACTTGAATGCTTCCAGGGATGGGAAATTCACCACTTACAAGTAAGCCCTTCTCTCAGTGGACCTGCTACCTGGCCCTTGAACGGACTCCAGAGTTATGCTAGTCTCACCTGCTCACCTCATGTGGACACATCTATTCTGGCTCCTTTCAAGAAACAGGGGTTGTTATTGCTCTGGTTAAAATTCTTCAGAGGCTCGCATTCCTCTTAGGATCCGGACCACAGTCCCTACCATGGCCCACTATCTTTGCTGATCTTTGCAGCCTCCCTCTTCCACTGTCCCCCACTCTAGGACCCTGTTTCACACATCTTGGTGTTCTCTCTTACCAGGCCAGGCCGAGTCTTGCCAGGGCCTACTTCTCTTTACATGTTTAACTCCTAATTCATCCCTCGGCTCTCCAGCAACATTTCCTTCATCTCCAAGTCTGGATCAGGTCCCTTGCTTATTCATGCTGCTAACACTCTGGACCTCTCCTCATGAACATCTGCCAACGCTGAACTTTTTCACTCAAGCAATTATTTCACCAGTGTTTGCCTCCCCCAGCAGACGGCAAAGTTCATTAGCCCAGGGATCGGAGTTAGCTATTTTGCATCCCCAGCATTTAGCAAACGGCCTGGCAGCTATTCAACTGGACGAATGGCTCGCTCCAGGAAGACGGGCCACAACCGGAAAGAGTGTTGGGACGACTGAGAATTAATCAAAAGCACACCCCAGGAGCTACACAGATAAAGCCCTCAGAACTGAGGGCACCCGTGTGCCGCCGGGTGCCCTGGGAGCCCTCAGGGCAAGGTCACAGCACAGCTCTATAGGCTGGCACCCAGCTGCCTAATGGGAAAGGGACACTCCGTCTTGGTGCTTGGGGGCCTAATTTTCCCTACCGGTTCCCCGCGGGGTCGACTGAGAACGGCCCCTGCAGCCCCAGGTAGACGCACGCCCGGCGCAGGGAGCTGGGGAGGTCTGAGGGGCCGGAGCCGATGAGGCCGCCGCTCCCGGTGAGGGCGCTCCAGGCCTGTCGTCCGGAGCAGTCGCGCGCCGCCGGGGCCCCTCTAGCCGCGGGCAGGTGGCGCGGTGCGAGTCGGGAAGGCGGCGGGTGGGTGCGGCCCTCAGCTGCGGAGGGCGCCATGGTGGGTGGCGAGGCGGCTTCCGCGGTGGAGAAGCTAGTTTCGGGGGTGCGGCAGGCGGCCGACTTCGCGGAGCAGTTCCGCTCTTACTCCGAGAGTGAGAAGCAATGGAAGGCTCGCATGGAATTCATTCTGCGCCACTTGCCCGACTATCGCGACCCGCCCGATGGCGGTGGCCGCCTGGACCAGCTGCTGTCCCTCTCCATGGTGTGGGCCAACCACCTCTTCCTGGGTTGCAGGTGCGGACCCCTGCGGGCTGGCTGACCCTGTCCCCTGCCTTCAGACCCGCAGTCCTCCCATAGGGCTGACCCCTGCCCAGTGCTGACCCCGCCCCCAACCTCCCGCCTCACTGGCCCGGCCTATGGCTGATTCCCACGCTGGCCAGCTCTTTGGAAGGACGTTCAACCTTTCAGAGCCTCAATTTCCTCGTTTGGAAAATCAGTTGTGATGACTACAGTATTAAAGAGGAAAAAAGAAAAGAAGAAAAAAGCATCTAGCAGGGGCTGCTATTTAGCAAGAGCTCAATCTATGGTGGGCGGTTACTTGTATTAATACTATTGGTTTAAACCTTTGAGGAGTACATATTAAATTTCTGGGCTCCTTCCACCCACGTGCCAAACGTGCAGACACAGAAACTGAGTTCCCCAGTTTACATATGAAAGAGCTGAGAGAGGGCCGTAGTGTTGTGGCAGGATTGTGGATTTTACCATTTATGGCAGAATGTACTCTGTGTCCTTTGGCTTTTTCTCCCTACTCCCCAGTCTGCTGGACTCTTAGCTAGAGCCAGCCTTTGCCTCTTTGCTTTTCCTGTTATGAAATAGTATACCTTTAAGGGACTGTTTGGAAATGCTCGATAAGGCACCCCTTGTACCCCCTCAGTGAAGAAAGTGTCAAATCTTGAAGCTCCCACATCCTTTTATTTTAGTGTCCTGAAATTGTGTTAGGATAGTAAAATGACTTGCGTTAGTCCTGGTTTCTGTGCCCCCTTTGGCTGTCTGATCCTAGTAACCTGCTCCCTCCAGCCCTTTTAACCACTTGGTTTTGTTTTCAGATGTTGGGGTTATTAGAACAGGATTCGGGGAAGCAGTGCCAAAGGCTTTTCCTCTGTTTTCTGGGTGCCCCTGGGAAATCCTGGTTAATGGGCTGCAAGACTAGGAAAATGTCATAAAATTGGACAGATGAACAAATGATTTATTTACATTAGACCAACATTGCACGTGCTTAAAAAAAAAAACATTTTGGCCCTCATACTGTGTCCATGAATATGTACTGCCATATATACAGTGCCTCTATTTTTGTAAATCTTTTTTTTTTTTTTTTGGTAAATCTTGAAACACCTGTTCTGTTGGCATTCCTATAGCCACTTCTGAATCCACAAGCCTGAGGAACGGTTTCCTAACCTGATGCTGAGCATGTATCCATTCCCTGTACTATCACATCAGAAGGCTGAGAGTTGAGCTACTTGCAATTTCTCATTAGCCCACAGTGACAAGTAATTTCTCCAAGGTTTTTATCTTACTACTTTTTATTGTGCAGTTACAACAAAGACCTTTTAGACAAAGTGATGGAAATGGCTGATGGGATTGAAGTGGAAGACCTGCCACAATTTACTACCAGAAGTGAATTAATGAAAAAGGTAAACAGGATTTCTAAGTGCATTTGAAATGGTATAGAGTTAATGGCCCCTGCTTCTATGTTGATGTGTTAGAATATATTGTTTACTCTCCAAGGATCTAAGCCCTTTCATTAAAAAATTTTAAAAATATTGGACACCTGGGTGGCTCAGTCAGTTGAGCATCTGCCGTCGGCTCGGTTCATGATCCCAGGGTCCTGGGATCGAGTTCTGCATCAGGCTCCTTACTCATTGAGGAGCCTGCTTCTCCCTCTGCCTGCTGCCCCCTCTGCTTGTGCGCTTTTTCTCTCTGTCAAGTAAATAAAATTTTTTTTTTTTTTTAAGATTTTACTTCTTTATTTGACAAAGGGAGACACAGTGAGAGAGGGAACACAAGCAGGGGGAGTGGGAGAGGGAGAAGCAGGCTTCCCAAGGAGCGGGGAGCCTGACATGGGGCTCGACCCCAGGACCCTGGGATCATGACCTGAGCTGAAGGCAGAAGCTTAATGACTTGAGCTACCTAGGTGCCCCAAATAAATAAAATCTTGAATTTTTTTTAAAATTTGTTAATGAAGTATAATTGATCTACATTATCCTATTTGTTTCAGGCATACCTCATAATGTTTTTATACATTATAAAATAATCTCTTAACAGTTACCCATCTTTCACCATGTAAAACTGTTACAGTCTTACTAACTGTATTCTCTGTGCTGTACATCACATCCTCATGACATAATTTATTTTATAATTGGAAGTTTGTACGTCTTAATCCCCTTCACCTCTGTCGCCCACCGCCCCCATCTGGTAACCAATAGTTCGTTTCCTGTATCTGTGAATCTGTTTTATTTGTTCATTTGTTTTTTTAGATTCCACGTATAAGTGAAATCATACTGTATTCGTCTTCACCTGTCTTATTTCACTTAGTGTAATGCATTCTAGGCCCAACCATGTAGCAAATGTCAAGATCTTTTTTTGTTGAGTTAGTATTCCATTATGTATATGTATAACAGCACATCATCTTTATCCATTCATTTATCTGTGGACATTAATTTATCAGCTTCCCAGAAAGTACTTCAGTCTCAAAGAGTACACCCTATTTGATTTCAAATAGTTTTCCTGGGGCTCAGCCCTGGGGCAGCTAGATAGTTGCTTGCTGCCTGAGTATGCCTATGCAGCACTAGGATCAGCTTTTACTTCCTAATTGCTTGTGGCAGATTCTTTGCTTGCTTTTTACTCTTAAGGGGTATTTTGCCGTTTTTTTTTTTTTTTTTTTTTTTTTCATTTTATTTATTTATTTGACAGAGAGAGAGATCACAAGTAGGCAGAGGCGGGCAGAGAGAGAGGAGGAAGCAGGCTCCCTGCCGAGCAGAGAGCCTGATGCGGGGCTCGATTCCAGGACTCTGGGATCATGACCTGAGCCGAAGGCAGAGGCTTTAACCCACTGAGCCACCCAGGCGCCCCTATTTTGCCGTTCTTAAAACTTGTTTTTTCAAGTAAATTTTGTTATACTTCTTTTTTTTTTTTTAAGATTTTATTTATCTGTGAGAGAAAGAACAAGCAAGAGGGAGAGGCAGAGGGAGAGGCAGAAATAGATTCCCAGCTGAGCTGGGAGCCCAGGGACCCTGAGATAGTGACCTGAGCTGAAGGCAGACGCTTAGCCAACTGAGCCATCCAGGCGCCCCTATACTTCTCTGTCTTAATATGTGGCCATAGTCCTTATAGTTTTTCTGGACTATTAAGAGATCAGAACCCTTTATGGTGTTTGGGTCGCAGACCAAGGGAAACTAAGGTTTTGTAATTGATATGGATGCCATCAGCCTAGTCATACTCACCTAGCTACCTTGAAGAAGCCTGCGGGGAGCCTCTACTTCTAGAGCACTTTTGCATTATGTCTGTTTTGGCTTCCTTCAAATAAAACTTAAGTTTTCTTAGTAGCCAAGTTTTAGACTATTGATACCAATGAAAATGAAACTCAGTTAATCCTGAGAAGTGAGATCCTTAAAGGGTATGTAGAGTTTTGCCAGTTTTTAAGACTCTTCTATTTATTTCGATCCTGAGAAGGAATCTTCTGATGTGTGTGTGACAGACTTGTGTGGTATTGAAGGCTGTCCCTTCTCCGTTGAAGCCCACCCTGGAAAGTGTCTTGGGGACTTCCCAGCAGTTCTTCTGTCTCTTGTCTGAAGTTTTTGCATGTAATAGAGGCTGGCAAACATTAAGCAACATTGCCAGCCCACATACCAAAAAAAAAAAAAAAACCCTTGATACTGAGCCATGCACCTGAAAGTGTTTGTCGTGGTTCTGCCTAGAATAGATGCTCTGCTCTAAAATTAGAGTTTAGGTGGGTTTTAAAGCCAGCTGGCAAGTAGAAATGAATCACCTGGCATTGTTGGCATCTTGAGACTGGACAGTGAAGGTAACTTAGGACATAATTTCTTTAAAGTAAGATTTAAGGGGCGCCTTCCTGGCTCAGTCTGTTAAGCATCCACCTTCGGCTCAGGTCATGATCTCAGCGTCCTGGGATTGAGCCCTGTATTTGGCTCCCTGCTTGTGGGGAGCCTACTTCTTTCTCCCCCTCCACCCCTCTCTGTGCCCATGCTGACTCTCTCGCTTGTTCTCTCTCTCAAATAAATACATAAAATCTTAAAAAAATAGGTTTAAAAATGTATACATATTCTACAGTTTTGAGGCAAATACATCTCTGTGGTCTATCCAACTCATTATTTTTTTGTCTGAGAGAGGAAATGAGCATTGTTCTCTGATAGGTGGTATTTGTCAAACGGTTGCAGTGTATGATTTTTCTTTGGATTCAATACAAATATATTGAACAAACAATCTCAGTTACCTGAACAGTCAACCCTAGGCACCTCTACTAGCCGTCTTTGTGGTGGACCAGCTTTATCCACTAGTGAGCAGTAATTAACAAAAGGCAGCAGCTCACTCAGGAAGGCTGTCATTACTAGGACTGTCAGAGTTAATATTTCCAAGCCATTGTCTTAAGGAGAAAGAGGAGTGATTAACTAGGAAGCTATCATTATTGGCTCACAGAAAGAATTTGTGAACTTAATTTCTTGGCCCATTTTTCTTTTTTTTTTCTTTTTTTTTTTTTTTTAAAGATTTATTTATTTGACAGACATAGATCACAAGTAGGCAGAGAGTCAGGCAGAGAGAGGAAGGGAAGCAGGTTCCCCGCTGTGCAGAGAGCCCGATGCGGGGCTCGATCCCAGGACTCTGGGATCACGACCCGAGCCGAAGGCAGCGGCTTTAACCCACTGAGCCACCCAGGCGCCCCTCTTGGCCCATTTTTCTTGAGAACATTTTTATCCAACAAGGAAAATGGCAGTACGGAAAGTGACTGGATGTGAAATGGGAACAAGAAGGTAGGAAAACAAGCATACTTGCATTTCAAGAAGTGCTTTTCTGTGTATTATGTCCAATTTTGGCAAGCTCTAAGGTAATGGAAAAGCAACTGCCGTGGTGAAAGAAGATGTGATTTTAAAGCGGCAAATAGGGGTGCTTGAGTGTCTCAGTGGGTTAAGCCTCTGCCTTTGGCTTGAGTCATAATCCCAAGGTCCTGGGATAGAGCCCCACTGAGCAGGGAGCCTGCCTCTTCCTCTCTCCCACTTGTGCTCTCTCTCTCTTGCTCTCTCTCAATAAATAAGTAAAATTTAAATAAAGAAAGAAAGTGGCAAGTATTTTGGAGTAATAAAACAAATTCAGCTTGTCAGATTACTGGATCTACCTTTTCCCCTTTATCCACTAGAAGGAGAAAAAGGCAGAAAAGCTGATTCTTACCCCATAGGCCAGTCTGTTGCCCCGAGCTCAGGATGAGTAAATCCCATGCCAAGACCTTGTATCAAAAGCCATACTTGTAGCAGCCAGAGCTGTGGCAGCTTCTGTGCTGTCGTAGTCTTGGTCTGTCCTATGGGAAATTTGAAAGATGTCTTAGGGGATTTTCTTTTCCTTTGGAGTAATGATGGTTTCTTTAGGTGATACTGCATTTTCCTAAAAGGGGAAAGGCTTTTCCTGAGGAATTTTGCTTTTTCATTGCTCAAAAAGACTGGAGTGACAGACTTAGCTAGGAAATAGGTCATACCTTGAAAACTCCGATTACTGAAAAGACTCTCAGATTGATTCACTTACACTGCTAAATGTTAAGGAAATCCAAATACAAGGTGACAGCCAACATGATTTCTTCACACCCAGCTTAAAAGTTGTCTAAAGCCAAGTTTAAATTTACCAAAGGTGCTAGAGAGCACCCAGAAAGAATATATCTGCTTCAGTTTGCCACTATTTGAAGACATGCATTTACAGTTTCTAATAGTGTGAAATCCAAAAATATATAACCTTCACATCTCCTAAATATCCTGAGTCAGTGTGAAATCTTGTGAATTACTACCTGGATTCAACTGATTTTAATTTAGAACAGTGTATGTTTATGTGATTCTGCTTTTAGAACACCCTTCACTGAAGAGCATGCCATGAAGAAAGTTATTTCAGGTATTTCTGTTATCACTTTAAATTCTCAACATTTATAGATTACAGGTGTCTCAAGACAAGAAAATTAGGCTCTAGCTTCCAAATAGATGGTATGTTCAATGTTTTGTTGAATTTTCTGTATGTAGTAAAATAATAATTTGAGTCTACTTTCCATCTAGGTAGTACATATTCTATCACTGCTTTATCTTGTTTTATTATTTATTTATTATTTATTTAAAAGATTTTATTATTTATTTGACAGAGATCACAAGTAGGCAGAGGCAGAGAGAGAGAGAGGAGGAAGCAGGCTCCCTGCTGAGCAGAGAACCCAATGCGGGGGCCGATCCCAGGACCCCGGGATCATGACCTGAGCCGAAGGCAGAGGCTTTAACCAACTGAGCCACCCAGGCGCCCCTGTTTTATTTTTTAAAAGATTTATTTATTTGAGAGAGAGTAAGCGAGAGAGAAAACACCAAGTGGGGGGAGAGGCTGAGGAAGGAGAAGCAGCCTCCCCACTGAGCAGGGAGCCTGATGTGGGACTTGATCCTGGGACTTCAGCACTATGACCTTAGTGGAAGGCAGACACTTAACCGACTGAGCCACCAGGCGCCCCTCACTGCTGTATTTTATGTATTTATTTATTTGTTTATTTTTTAGATTAACACATAATGTATTATTAGCCCCAGGGGTACAGGTCTGTGAATTGTCAGGCTTACACACTTTACAGCACTCGCCATAGCACATACTCTCCCCAATGTCCATAACCCACCCTCACTGCTGTATTTTAATTTAAAAGTTTGATTTGCTGGACTACATGGCTAAATAACCTTTTCTTTTTTTTCCCAGCATCAGAGCTGAGGCAGAAGATTCATCACATTTTCACCATCAGCAAGGCTTAGGAAGGAGGCTGGGATGAATGTGACATGGACCACAGCAGCTCTCTTAAGATTCCTGGTATTTCCAACATGTAGGAAAGAGGCAGTTGGAATGACAGTCTTGTCTAGATTGGAATTTTAAAAGGTCCATTCTTCCAGTAGCTATCATTGTAAAAGTGTGCATGGATATTTATGTATTTATAAATCATGCCCTTTTTTTCACTTTTTGAATGTCAAACTTTTTGTTAAAAATGCCTATTTTTTTTTTTATGTTGTAATAATTGCAGGTAATGAGTTTTACAATTTGGACTATTCAATAATGTGTTTTCAAGTCTAATTCTGTTTTATGGTTTTTCCCCACCCTGCACTGAGGCAAACCAGCCCTTATTTCCTTTTTTTTTTTTTTTTTTAAGATTTTATTTATTTGAGGGGTACCTGGGTGGCTCAGTCGATTAAGTGTCTGCCTTCAGTTCAGGTCATGTTGTCAGGGTCCTAGGATCAAGCCCTGCATCGGGCTCCCTGCTTAGCAGGGACCCTCTTTCTCCCTCTCTCCTGCTCCCCCTTTGTGCTTTATCACCCTCTCTCTGTCAAATAAAATCTTAAAAGAGATTTTATTTGAGAGAAAGAGAGCATGAGAAGGGGGGGCAGAAGGAAGAAGGACAAGGAGACTCCAAGCAGGGAGCCCGACTCAGGGCTTGATCCCAGGATCCTGAGATCATGACCTGAGCCAAAGGCAGGCACTTCCACTGACTGAGCCACCTAGGCGGCCCTATATCCTTATTTCGTTGTGAAGTTTATGCTATCTTTATGGCCACTGGCCACACACACTCATCTTTTTTTTTTTTTTTAAAGATGAGTGAGAATTAAATCATAGGTCTCAGGTACCCTAGCTCATGGGAAGAGGGCAATTTATAAAAAGTCACCTGGCCTTATTTTAAAGTGGACACCACATGCCATAGCTTGGTCCAGGCAGCCTAGCTGATCTATACATTTTTTAGAAGGTCTCCCAGGCAGCTGAGTAAAGCCCACATTATTTTTTTCTACAGGGACCCTGAAGGTTTTGGTCTTCTAGACTTAAGCAATTGCCTTGCACATAGCCCCTGAAGAAATACTTGTTTAATGCAATGCTGTCTTGCTCTGAAATTCTCATATCAGTTTTTCCCACTTAGTTAATATATATATTCTTTAACCTCTCCCTCTTCTTCTCATTGTTTTTTTTTTTAAGATTTTATTTTATTAAAAAAAATATTTTTTCAAGATTTTGTTAGAGCACCAGTAGGAGCAGCAGGCAGAGGGAGAAGCAGGCTTCCCTGCTGAGCGAGGAGCCTGATGAGGGATTTTATCCCAGAACCCTGGATTGAGCTGAAGGAAGATGCTTCACTGACTGAGCCACCCAGGTGTCCCTAAGATTTTATGTTTAAGTAATCGCTTCACCTAATTTGGGGCTCAAACTTAAACAACCTTGAGATCAAGAGTTACATGCACTACCAACTGAGCCAGCCAGGAGCGCTCTATTTATTTAATACCTACCATTAAGAACTTAAACCTCCAGGCGTAAATACTGAGAGAGGGACTTCATTTGGGGTCAGCAATATAACAGTCACAGCAGAATTCACTCATCACTGGGCTTGGTATTTGGGATAATGGTGAATAAGACAGTGGACCCTGTCTTAGCTGAACATACCGGTAGACCCAGGAATGCTGAAGAGGAGAGCTGGCTGTGGGAGCACGATGCCTAGGAACAGATGAGTGAGATGCCTCTCACCCACTGCTCAAGCCTAAGGACAAGTATCACACCTTGGATGGGCCGCATCTCTGCAGGTTCTGGCTCTAATCTGTAGCAATCACTAGGGTAGGCCAAATGAGGTCAGGATCTCTGATTTAATCGGGCAAGCCACTTCTTTCCCTAGCCTTACCTGGGAAATGGAGGTCGTAGAAATACAGAAGAACTGCGGCAAAAGACGAAGGACGAAGATATTGCAGGGATAAGCCAGTGCTCAGTGAGCATCAGCCTCTTCCTCGAATGTGGCCTAGCCTCTTTCTATTCTGGTTACCTACACAGATTTGTGAGGCTTAAAAACCAAATTTACAAGTTGAGAAATATCAGAGTGGGGCTGTTCACTTTTAAAATGCATCTTTCACAGGTTTCTCATCGCAGATCCTATTTTCTAAGATACAGTGACCTATTAAAATAATAGTATCCTGTCAGGAATGTATCCATTGCATAAAGCAAGCTTATATTGTGCGCTGATTGCATGTTCCCCTCCCCCATTCTTCTTCAGTGTCTCTAGTTAATCAAAAGCAGATTTTCTGATAACCATTTTGTAATGGGTTTTCTCATTTCCTCAGCGTAAGCTTTCTTCTCATCTTTTTAAAAATTGTGTAGCTATCTCATCTATAAAATTAAGCAGTATTTTAAAGTTTCATCCTTTGTTTTTTTGGATAGAAAGTGGCATAGAAATCTAAATTTTTGCATTGCAGCAGTCCTTGTAGTGTAGGCAAAATAGCCCACTCTTATGCTGAAGCTGGAGCTCACTGCAAGATAGTGGCCTTGATATGTGCAGTGCTGTCCAGCACGGTGTAAGAATCACGAGATCATAGGAGGGGACACGGTAAACTGTTACCTTCAAGTAACAACTACAGAGCATCCTTTCTGTTAATGACTTTAGTCTCAAGACTTTGAGGAGCAAGTACGAACAGTACAGTTTAGGGTGCTCAGTTAACCGTGATACCCTTTTATATTACCCAGAAAATTGCTTTTTACAGTATTCTTTATAGAGTTTATAGCCCACCTGATGAATTGTCTACCGTTGTGGAGGCAAGGATTTTCCAAGATTTATGCAGACCTGAGGCTTACCTATTCCATGGGCACTGGGAGGATTCATTATCACTCCCATCCTCTGAGGCATTGCTATTTGTAGTAAAGGGCACTGAAAATACACATTGTCACATCTGAAGTGAAATTTGTATTATTCTAAATGTCAGGTAACTTGGTGTTTCTCTGTTGCTCAGCTCAAATCTCTGCTGGGTACCTTTTTGTCTGGAGATTCAACTTCTGGAGTCTGAGGACTGTAGTCTAGGTATGTTATCTAGTCATGGTTCTTATCCTTGACTAGTTAAGGGACACCTTTTGGTTCTGAAGGAGTAAGACTAAACACAAATCACAAGAGGCAAGGGTTTTAGAACTCAAGCAGATTGTGGTCATATGGAAATTACTTCCTTTAATGAATACTGATGCACACTAAAAAATTTGCCCTCATGGAGATTATATATGTATTTCTATATATAGAAAATAAATATAAAAATATGTATTACATCTAAAACATAATATATAAAAAACTTTATTTTATATATATATATATATATATTCCCCCCCCCCATTCATATTCCTTGGGGAAGAAAAAGAATCTCTCTGGGCATGCTTTTCATTAAAATAAAGAGCAAGCAAGTGAAAGAGCCTATTTATTCATTTATTTAAGTGAAAAGCCCAATGAGGTTCTGTTTCTTCCCCAAAGTTTACTCTGTTCCTTCCAAGTTAGGACTTTCATGTCCAAGGGTGGCAGTATGTTGGCTGCCTTTCTCATTTTGTTTTAGTTTCTCTCACAATGTCAGCATTAGGGGCAGAGTCCTTTGCATATGTGGTCTTGTCAGGGAGGGAGGTGGGCCTGAAGCCTTGCCCACAGACAGGACCAGCTGAGGCAGCAGGGGGTAACAAGAATACATCACCTTTGGGAATCAAAATAAGAAAAGTAAAAATTGAGATTATTAAGTTCCCATTAGACAGAGCTATAATTCTTAACATATCTTAGGCATGGACATGTGAACCAGAGTTTTTTCCTTAGTGCGGTCAGGCAGAGGGCTCTTTAGAAATAACCTGGGTGGTCTCAGCCCAAGTTCCATCCTTCTTTCCCAGCCTAGGAAAAGTAGGCAAATGACACCCAAAAGAACCTTGATTATGGTCTTCCAACCTAGTTGCCTAGGAGGAATGTTGTTAGGGCATCTTGAGGCAGGCCTTGTCTTCCCCTGGTTTAGTGAAAGGGTGATTAACTGTAAGGAAGTCAACCTTGAACTGTTTGGGCCTACTGACTAAAGCCCTTGCTTTGCTGTGAATCCTAGCACCAAAATCTCACTGCGGGTACTGCATTTTCCTTTCTCTTTTATATCTTCTTATAATAAGAATATTTAACTGAACCTAGATGTGCACTGGTAGATAATTCCTTCTTCCTGATTTGATTTACTTCACCTCCGTGTAGGGATCTCTGAAGTGGGGGATGATTCTTTGATCTTTATTGGAGAATTTGGTGGAAAAATTTCTCCTTCAGTAACTGGCATTTAGTGAGCTCTCCCTGCTTCACTCCTACTCTACTCTTCCTTTGAGGCCAAGCTGTGAAAAAAAAGGTTTCAACTAAAACTTACACAAAAGAAAAATTAGCACCCACAGTCACCCCCACAAGATCAGGCTCTGTCCCCAAGGCTACAGAAGGGTATACCACATCAGTTCCAGTTGTGTGGTAGGGCCAGTCATGAGTTGGCACCCATTAAGTCCTCAGTAGCTATGCTGACAAAATGAATGGCAACAGGCACTGAACAATTCAGCCTTAATCAAATGCCTGGCAGTCCCAGAGAGGGAGGTAGAAGCAAAACCTCCAGGATATGGGGTGGAAGTCAGCAGGTGGCCAGAGCTTATAGGTACATTGCAGTTCTCCCCTAACACTAGGTGCCTTGGAACTTCTGTACCACTTGCATCTAGGGTCTGGGGCTTGTGAGGGCTGTAGATGTGCTCCTCTCCCCATGAACATGGCCTTTGCCCAAGCACTGGCATGGCAGGCTTACCTGAATGTCACCTTGTAAACCGATGAGACTTTATCACTTGGTGTGAACTGTGGGCTCCAGCTGACTGGAAACTGTTGGGCTTGATCCATCACCTATAGTCCCACTTCCCCTTAAACCACTTGTTTTCAACTTCTAAGGTGGTGAGACAATGACTCATGCTTCCTTCTACCTTTGTATTTACCAAATTATTTCTTATGACTACATTCTACTTCTGTAACAAAACCAGGAATATGCCCATCAGTGTCTCCAGAGGACTTGGAGCTTGAACTCTAGAGGTCTTCGCTATCCTGCTGGCCTCCTGCCCAGGCCTGTGCATGTAATGCCACAGGGTGTCTGGAAAGGAGGTTCCTAGTATTTGGATTTACATTCCAACCTTTGGAACTGTACTCGTATTGTTGCTCTTACAGCCTGATCTGTCAGACTTGGTTTTGAGAAGGTGCCATGGGGATTGTGCTATTCTCAAGCTGCTGAGTGCAAAAGAATATGCAGCCCATCAAAGAACCAATGTGTAAGGGCTAACAAAAGCCAGGGAGGGGAACTTTCTCCCTGAACAGATAGGTTCATCAGCCTGTCACCGAGCCCTAGTATTGCCCTCACTGATCTTATTGGTTTGCAGAAGAACCCTTGTACCCACCCCTGGGAGAGCTATCGTCTTCATTCTAAAGGCAGACTTCCAACGGTTGTTCTAGAGAGTCTTGACCTGAAACCACAGCCTTATGGTACTCGTGCAGGTACAGGTCTATAACCATAACCCACTAAAACACAGCAGGGATTACTAATCCATCTTTTTTTGATATTCCAAGCCTTTGGCCGAAGGTGACATGGGCTAGAATCTCTGATTCTTTTCCTATGCTCTGCTCAGGATGTTATCAGGAAAAGAAGGTTCCAGTTCCTTGTGGTCTTTGTACTCATACTACTACAGTAACATAAAATCTCCCAACTCAGTTTTGTAAAATGACTTTATACAGAGACCAAATTTCTGCAAACCTCTCTGCATTTGATATTCTCTTAAGAGTGCAGCCAGTCCAATTCAGCTGGGGGCTGTGCTATTCTTGGCAAAAGGTCTTGTTTGTAACGGGGGAAGGGAAAGGGCAACTTACACCTTGAGCTTCAGACAGGAAGCAGCACTAAGAGGTCTGCCTTAAGTGCTCTTAATGTTTGCATTTTGGCAGCCTTCAAGACACCATAGAACCCTTCCCCATTCCAGGAAGAATGACAACTGAATGGTATAGGTTGATGGAGCCTGAGGAGATCCTTTCATAGATAGGCTCTGATCCCCTCTAGACAAGTACCCAACCCAGTGGCTTTAAGGATCCCAATCTTCCAGGAAAGAATTTAGGTAGCTAACCTCCCCACAAAAGACCATAGAAGCATCATACTTGTTAAGACTGTCACCATACAAAGACCTCTCTAAACAGCTAAAAGGTTATTTCTTGTCACAGGGGCTCTAAAGTCTTCTCATACATATTATTGTACAAGTTACTGATAAAAGTATCACATGGCCAAGCTTTACCACTCAACTCAGTGGCAGTTCCTCAAAGTCAGTCCATGCAGGCTTTTCACCCAAGGCTAAATCCTCCAAAAAAGAGGAAGCTTCGAGTCCCTCCTTCCAGGGTTCTTGATTTCAACCAGAAAGGAGCTAACGTTGCTGAGCTTGAGAAGTCATATACTCAAAAAAGTTTGCAAAAGACACAGCTAATTTGTCTTTCTGGCCCAACCTAAAAAAAGCCCTAGCCCATGCTATAAATAGGAAATGTAAAAACCTCAAGAAGTTATTAACAAAATTGTTTTAAACCAATACAGGTGGGGTTAGGGAGAGGTGGAGAAATTACTCAAAGAGGAATGGCACGCATTTGTATATTCTTTTTCAAAGGACAGAGAAAAAAGTAAACTCAATAAAACTTCCTAATCTCTTTCCTCCATGCCACATACTTGAATAACTAAAGAAAACTAATCTTTATTCCTATCTGACAGCAGTTGTTTTATCCTAACTAGATGGGAACTGAAGTAACAGAGCTACCATTTTGGCATAAGGCCCTTGCCTTATGGGCAATTTCATTTGCCTTTAATAGCTTTGCAACGACTGACTTCTATTTACATAATAATCCCCACATAACTGAGATTCCTCAGGGACTCTGCATTTCAAAATGCAACAGAAAGGAATTGTAATAAATACCACCAAGACCTAAAAAGTTGATCCCTATCTCTTAAAACCTGGGAGAACTGAGAGCTCAAAATACCTCAGACATAACTCTAAATTGTACATTATGAGCCCTAGGGTTCTTTCTCACAAGTACTAAATGAATCAATTAAGTAGACAGGTACTTTGTTTACTGAGCACAATATACGGGTACCTTTAATTTTTTTCCCCACTACCTTCCACCTACTTACAGGAGTAAGATTTTTTAGGTCAGTTTCAGAAGTTACTCATGGAACTTTCATTGGGATGTGTGGGGGGGGGCACGGACTCAAGAATATTTCCATGAAGGGGAAAAAAAAAATTGGTCTATTGATAAGTCATAAGTTATAGTCCTTTATATCAGAGGCCAGAAGATGTGCCTATATTAAAAAAAAAAAGAGAGAGAGAGAGAAAATGGTGGTCAAGAAAACTTCTTCACTGGATAGATACCAGTCTCTACACAGAGTCTAAATCAATTAAAGCATTTTTTAAAAATGAGAGAGACATATTTAAGTCTAATAGATTTTCTAAAACTGAACTCAGTATATCTTAGTATTTCTTGAGGGATAGTCTACTTCTTGGCTAAAAGACCAGACTGCCTAGGTACAAATCCCAGTTCTATCGCTTGCTAGCTGGCTGATCTTCAACAAATCACTTATTTATTCTCTCTGTACCTGTATTCCTCATCAGTAATATAATGGTACCTACCTCACAGGATTACTGTAAGTCTGAATTGTGATCACATACGTTGAAGTGCTTCAAATGGTGCTATACACACAGAGCATTCTATGTCAGAAGTACTGTTACAGAGGAAGTGTATTACAAATGCATTTCAGCTTTAGTATGAATCCAACTTCATACCGAAATAAACAACTTAGTTCTAGCCTCTTGCTATAACAACACATTTATAAAGTTTACCTAGTTTAAAAGTAAACACTTTTTCTATGGTATAACCTTGTAAAAATTTAAGGTTTTACATCTAGTACTCAATCAAAGAAACAGGAATCTGTTCCAAGGCTGAAGAAAAAAATTGAGAGGAGTAATTGGGAGAAGATGAATCCTAACAATTTTCTCCAGTGGGAATGTGGACGAGGTAGGAATTTTATGCATGTGTTGAATTTAGGACTTAGAGCTCAGTGACTCCCTGCAAAGGGAGATGTGACCCCCCCCCCCCATAATTATCAATACTTGAAGTATTTCACTTTTCAATAGGAAAAGGAAAGCATATTAGGATGAAAAATAGCTTTTGAAGCAGCAACCAAATAGCATTTAATGAAGTAAGAGGGGTGGACTCTCATATCTACTGTATATTTAAGAGTTTGTCACTGGAGTAGATGTCTACAGAAGCTACACTTTGTCTCAGAGCTGAGTATGAAAGCATCACATTTACTATGACCAAAAAGTACCTGTAAGCATCTCTTTTTTTGGCCATTAATTCCAGCGAATGGACTCTTATTTGTATGAAAAGCTTCTAAGATCATACACTGACCCAAAATTTTGCCAGGTAATAGCTTTTAAAGGGAAACATCAGCACTTATCCTTCCAGTGTTAAACTTGGCTTAAAAAATAGAAGCTGTAGACACTGCAATCCTCATCTTCCAATAGAGAAACTGTTAGCTTACTAAACTAGTTAAGAATAGGACAAGAAACTATATTGGGGTTACTCAAATAGCTGTTTTAACTACTAGAAAGACTACACAGGTGGTTCAACAGAATTTACTTGTATATTTTCCATTTTCTGTACTATTTGAAGGCATAGGATAGCTTTGTATTAGCTTTCTACAATACTGTGTTTTAAATTTATCCAGTAAACTAAGATGCAGTACAACTTTTATACAACTTAGGAGATAAAAAAAAAAAAATCTCCACAAGAGAAAGCAACTCAGCAGGCCCTGGTATTAAAACATTTTTCCAGAATAAACAGATATGCAATTGCATTAAAAGGCAGTTTTCAAATATTTTCAGTTACACCAAGATTCCTTCCAAATATCTGCCTTGCTAAACCAATGCAACCGATTCTTACTCAGTTAATAGTGGGGCATGGATTTTGGTAAATGTTTATGGTTTTACTTTCTTCATTATCAAAAATCTTTTAAAGTGCTATCAAGCAGCAAATAAGTTGCATTAGTTCTCTGCTTCCGGTAGAGGTGCCAATTCCTCATGGTAGAGGTACAAACTGTGAAATTGCGAAAGGTACAGTTTAACAGTAAGTAGTGCATGAAAAACAGTAACACGTGGCCTAAATACAGAGTTGGACAGAATCAAACCAGTTATGTCTATAATTGCTCAAGTGAAATGGATATAGTTTCATTCAAACATTTAAAATAAAGTCTAAAATTATAATTGGTGGTTAGAATCAAATTTGAAGAATTTCTTGATAAAATATAAATCTGTTCTTTTGAAATTGGAAATGAAACTATTAATTGATGGAGAGCTAGAGACTTATTAACCCCTCCTACATAGATAAGGAAATAAGTGACAAAGTCTCTTGCACTGAAGTTATGTATTTTAACAGCTTTACATGTAATATTCATATATAAAAAACTTTAAGTGCTTTTCTCCAATTTAAAAATCTAAAGAATTCAAAAATAAGGCATTCAATATTTGAAAAAAGTACAGATTTACAAAATGTGTATTATTCTGTCATGAAAACTCCACACCAACATTATACACTTGGAAAAAAATACAAACAGGATATATTACAAATTTATGTAAGCAATAACTTAGTTCACACCATGCAATAAAAAGTACATTAATCAAGATACACAAGCTTTTGTAGGTTCTAAACTGAAGGACTTTTTTTTTTTCTGCAGAATCCTTAAAACCTGTGGCACTTAAAATTTGTTAGCCTTTCTACTGAGAGGTAAATTATACACAACAATGATGAAAAAAATTAACAGACCAGTTGTCTATTATGAATCATTCCAGCTTTGTTCAACAATGGCCGAAACTCTTTTCTCATATTCTCGTTTGTTTTCCTGATAAAGCTGTGCTGCCTGGCTATTGGCTGGACTGTTTGGATTTGGTTCATCCAGCAGAGACTGGAAGGAAAGAGAAAGGAAAAAAGGATCTGTGGAGAGTTATTCTTTACATTAACATAGGTCAGATACCGAGCATACTGTTTGTACAAAAAACCAAATTACTCAGTAAAGAAATGGCAGATATTAGTGTATCTTCTGTATTTTCAGGTCTTAAATACTTTCAGAAATGGCTTGATCAATTCAATAATTTCCTCCTGCTAGAGAACTGAAACTTCCAAAACACAGTACTCAACTGCCTTAAAACCTCTAATTTCAAAGAAATTAGGAAAGAATATTCTTCAACATACTGAACTATTTATTAGCCAAGAAATAAAAAACTTGATTTGGTTAATATACAATACCTAGAAATAGCAACTAACATTTTCCGAAGTTAAACTCTGTTTTTGTGGTTACAAATGTCTGACAGTAAGTTGGACAGAGAATCTTGTTTCATCAAGAAAACATACACATCTAGCAGCAACGGAATGAAATACGGAAGCTGAAAACAATGTTTATAAAACATGATAGGAAAAGCTTTAAAAAAAGGTCACAAACCAAAATTTTACTTCTGCTCCTCTCACATCCACATAAACTAAAACATCCCTCACTCCACCTCTCCAAAATTGTCATTCAAGGTCAACTCTGAAATAATCTGCCAGTGTTTTTGGCAAATGGTAACACTATCCCTTCTTTTTTAATAGGATTTCTTGGATAGGATATCATACTTAATGATTCTCTGCACTTCACAGTTTCCTGAAGTCCCTATGGTTTTTCTAAGCAATCATCTTTCACTATTTCTAAGAAGTATTTTCCTTTTCCACATCCTGTGGCTATGCTTCATGGGCATAAATACCTAACCTGTGAGAACACTTTATTTACACAAGGATCAGGAAAATGACTGTGGGTTTGATCCACTGTGGTCACTAACAAAAAAGCAGACCAGCTGTCTGAAAATCGTGGGGTTTTATCCAGGCTGTGCCATTGGTTACCTGCTACTGCTCCTGAAGGAGCTGCCTGTATCCCACAGAATCTTGAAAAACAAAACAAAACAAACGATCATGCAGCCTAACACACCCTTACCTGAATTGATGTTAAGATAGAAGATACATCGTATGTTGGACTCCATCGATTCTGAAGGATATCTAAACATATGCTACCATCAGCATACACTGCAAAGATAACACTAAAATTGGTTACCTATTAACTTTATCATATTTAACAGTTAAAAGAGAAATCTTCACCACAAAGAGAATGCTTGGCCCAGTCAGAAGTTCTGAACATTAGTTACCAAACCCCTCCTGTCTCACGGGAAAACCAGTGTTAAAACTAAGGTCTCTTATTTTGCACCTTTTCATCAGGGAGCTTTGTCAGAGTTAAATTTTTTCAACACCCACCTTATAGCCAATCTGTTCGAACATTCTATTTCTAAACTCTTTAAATAAAGCTCTTGAAAAAAAAAAAAAAACACACCTTATTTTTTGACATCATAATTACTCTCCCAGAAATTATTCCTAAAAGAAATAAATGTGAACACAGGAAGTTTTATTTATAGTAAGAGTTCACTATGATACTGTTTATAAGCGTTTATATACTGTTTATGGACCTGAAGAGGTGACTGGCTAACAGTACATTTATATAATCAATACCAATGTAGCCAACAGAAAAGATACACATCTACACTCTGTTAACTGATACAGAAAGACATCCACAATGTAGACCACCTTAATAAATTGTTTTCAAATTTTAGAGGAAAATGACATTTTTTACAAAATATTTAAGTATTTTCATTTGAAGTATAATTGTTTTCATTTGAAGTCTGTGTAGTTACAAAAACATTTGTAAGACTAAATGCCAAAATTTAAGTACTGGCTCTAAGTAATAGGATTCTTGCATTTTATGATTTGTTTTATAATGAGAATGCATTCCTTTCATAATCAAAAAATAAAAATCCAGTGATTAATACGTTTAAATTCTAACATTTGGGAAGTTTTTTCCCCTCTTGAACTGATTATGTGAAAATACAATGAACATAAATTTTTACCCTCTTTTGAGACTCTATGTCTACATGACATATTTCCAAAAGTAGAACTGCTACACTGACAAAGGATAAATGCATTTAATGTTACAGATATTGCCAAACTTTGGAAAGCTTCACGGAGCAAGCCTGATCACCTTACATAAAGACAAGAATAAGTAAGGCTTTTTGGGGGAGAGGAGGCAAATTATACTTAAATATTGTCATTTCTCAGGGCTCTATCCTCCATCCTCTTTCTTCTGGCCCAGTATACACCCTCGGGGTGATGTTCTGCACTCTCATGGCCTCAATGACCATCCATCCATGTGCTAGCTACTTACAGTTATTAGTTTTAGAGAAGCCTAAGTGGGATGCCTGGGTGATTCAGTTGCTTAAGCAGCTGCCTTCGGCTCAGGTCATGATCCCAGGGTTCTGGGATCGAGTCCCACAATTTTCAAATATTGATTTCAAGTATTTATGCCACATTAGGCTCCCTGCTCAGCAGGAAGTCCACTTCTCCCTCTGCCTGCTGTTCCCCCTGCATGTGCTCACTCTCTAATAAATAAATAAAATCTTAAAGAAAAAGAAAAAAAAAAGCACAGCTTAGTGGCTTATTATCTATCCCACAGGAACATCAAACTTGTGGGTCTAAAAAACAATTATCACCTCTGTAAGACCCATAAAAGTATAAAATGATTTTTAAAGTTTTGAACTAGTAACTATTTCTAAGAAATAATCCAAAAGTAAACCAGAAATCAAGCATCTATCAACTAATGAATGGATAAACAAGATACACTATATATCCAAATAATGAAATTTCCTTCAGCAATAAAAGGGAATAGAATTACAACACAGATGAACCCTGAAAACTATGCTAGCTGAAAGCAGTCAGTCACAAAACACCACATGTATTACAGGATTTCATTTATAAGAAACGTCCAGTACAGGCAAATCTACAGAGGTAAGAAAATAGGACTACCTAGGGCTAGGGTGCTGGGATAAAGGGGAACGGCTGCCAATTGTCATGGAATTTTTGGGGGAGAATGAGAAAAATGTTCTAAAATTGATATGGTGATAGTTGTACAACTCAATGTACTAAAAACCCCTGAACTGTAAAATTTAGATGAATGAACAGCACAATATGTGAATTACATTTCAAATAAAGATGTTTAAAAAGTGTATCAGAAAGTTAATAAAAAAGTACCGGTAAAAGAAAAAAAAGGGAAACCACTATTATGAAGGAATGAGAAATAATAAAATACACTGTTTCCCCAAGGATGAAAATACCATACCTCCATACACAGAACCCCTGGCACATTGTATAGTCTTTCCCACCTTCATTTACAGAGCCTTCTTACTACATTGTGGGTCAATTTAGTAATAAGTCTTAGTCAGATTACAGTGGAATAAATATTAAGTGACTCCTTCTGAAAGTAAGTAAACTGATGGGGAAGACCATATTTAAATGAGCAAGGTTACAAAAAGGAAAGCTTAAATATTTTGGGAAGTCTTTCGTACAGTAATTTATAATCCAGGAATATACATGTATCAGAAGTAAATAGGAAGTTATAGAAGAGCAAATATAATTACAAAGAGTCAGTCAGAAATCATGGAAAACAGGAATAAAACATTTCTCCAGGGGTGCCTGGGTGGCTCAGTTGGTTAGGCATCTGCCTTGAGCTCAGGTCATGATCCCAGAGTCCTGGTACTGAGACCCACATCAAGCTCCCTGTTCCTCAGGAAGCCTGCTTCTCCCTCTCCCTCTCTGCCTGCCCCTGCTTGTGTTCTCTGTGTCAAATAAATAAATGAAATCTTAAAAAGTAAATAAAAAAATTTATTTCTCCACATAAAAATAGGCATGATAGAAAAAATAAAAAACTGTACTTAAAAAAAGCCTTAAAAACATATGAATCTTTGACCCAGTAATCCCACTTCTAAAAACTTGTTCTATAATATTCATGGTTATTTGGGAAGATTTTCAAGAATTTTCTAAGTGCTATTTAAAATTACAAACAACGTGGGGCACCTGGGTGGGAACTGAATCTTGATTTTGGTTCAGGTCTTGATCTCAGGGTCATGAGATGGAGCCCCATGATAGGCTCCACCTTGAACACAAAGCCTGCTTAAGATTCTTGATCTTGGGGTGCCTGGGTGGCTCAGTGGGTTAAACCTCTGCCTTCGGCTCTGGTTATGATCTCAAGGTCCTGGGATCAAGCCCCGCATCGGGCTCTCTGCTCAGCCAGGAGCCTGCTTCTCCCTCTCACTCTCTGCCTGCCTCTCTGCCTACTTGTGATCTCTGTCAAATAAATAAATAAAATCTTAAAAAAAAATAATTCTCACTCTCTCCCTCTTTGCACCCCTCCCCCCGAACTTGCACTCTCTCTCAAAATAAAAAATAAAAAGTATAATTTTTAAAACGATTTTGACAGAGATCACAAGGAAGCAGAGAGACAGGCAGAGAGAGAGGGAGAAGCAGGCCTCCCATTGAGCAGAGCGCCCAACTGGCGGGGCTCGATCTCAGGACCCTGAGATCATGACCTGAGCTGAAGGCAGAGGCTTTAACCCACTGAGCCACCCAGGTACCCCTAAAAAATAAAATCTTTAAAAAACCCTGAAAATCACCAAAAACTAGACAGATTATGGTAACCTCATAGAATATTTATGCAGCCATTAAAAATGATGCAAAAGAATATTTAATAAGGAAAGATATTCACAGTTCATAAAAATGTTAATTACATACAATATGATCTCAATTTTGTACAAGCATTTATTTGTACTTTAGAGAGATTTTATTTATTTGAGGGGGGAGAGAGGGAAGGGGAAGAGAGCACAAGCAGGGGGGAAAGGTTAAAGGGAGAAGCAGACTCCCTACTGAGCAGGGACCCCAATATAGGACTTGATCCCAGGACTGTGGGATCACGAGGCAAGCCAAAGACAACCAAATGAGCCACCCAGGCGCCCTCTTTGTATTTTTTAAAAAGATTTTTATTTTATTTATTTATATTTGACAGAGAGATCACAAGTAGGCAGAGAGAGAGGGAGAAGGAGGCCTCCCACTGAGCAGAGAGCCCGAGGCGGGGCTTGATCTCAGGACCCTCAGATCTCAGGACCCTCAGATCATGACCTGAGCCGAAAGCAGAGGCTTAACCCACTGAACCACCCAGGTGCCCCATATTTTTTAAAAAGCTAAATTTTAAGCAAAAATTTTTTGGTATCCTTCCATTTCTACAAATAAATAGGTTATTATTTTAAAATCAAAAGTATTAAGAGCAAAACAACTTTACCTGAAATTTGGAACCTTCTAAAGATTCTAGGCTACAAAAACGTAGCTAATACTGACATGGAAGCAACATCCTGAAGAGGCCTGTCGCAGTAAGAATTATGGGGCAAGGCCTAAAAGGAAGGAAAGAACTCTTTCCCCCCTATCATTTATGAAGTTTAATAAAATGTTACTTACCATTTGGATGAAACATTTTGGATAAAAACCTAACAGTTGGTGGTTTATTTGGATACTCTTCAGAAAATTCTATTACTAGTTTAAAAGTACCTAGATAGAAAAAAAATCAAAATAATTATGGTAAAGACAAGCATTACTTTTTAAACTCTTCATCAATGAATTCCCAACCCATACTGGTTTTTGCACAACCACATGAAAAGTAATGTCAATTTTGGCTTAGCACATAAAACATATGAAATATACTTTGATTTACGTTAGACTGGTAACACGCAGCACTGGCAAGCACTTGGGAACACACACTTTCATGTGCTATTGGTGGGAATGTTAAACTGCCGTATTTTTGGAAGGCAATTTGGCCCTAGCTACTGAAATTTAAAATGCACATTTGGGAAACTACAGCTAGTTTATTATAGCTTAGAAGGGGGTATGCCAAGCCCTTTAAGAAGGGCTAACTACCACATGACAAAGGACTTCCATCAGAGGCATGCACATTAATCTGAAAGGTCTCTTCCGTCCCCTTACAAATCCTTTCACTCAAATATGCCAAGAACCAGTAAGTATTAGTGCAACTGCCTACTGTGGTTATAGTCCAACATGGTACACTCTTGTAAAGTGGTATCTTATGGTCAGTACAGACAGGCTTTTAAAAAAATTATGCATTTCTAACAAAGTCAATCTGTTCACAGTGTACAAAGTAGAACTCTCAACTCTAATTCCAAATCAATTTTGCAGAAATAACCATTATTACTGGGTTTTTGTATCTTTTCCTAGATTTCTATCCTGTTTATTCACTATCCAGAGTTCTTGTATTTTGAGGACATCCACCTGAAGGTTGGAGAGGTGTTCTACCTACAACCCCTTGGACATACTCAGTAAATCGAGACTTATTTCTAATGAAGTCAATAAAAAAGTTTAAACCATTCCAGATTATCTCTAGAAGGTTCATCCCCTGATTTCAACAATGTAGTTTTAAAAAACAAGACAAAAATCCATTCTTGTATTTATTTTATTCGATATTTTATCTATATATTTGGTATACAACCTCTACCTTTTTACATTTTTTTGCTGCTGGAAATTTGGGATTAGGGAAGACAAAGATACACACAAAATCAAAAGTGGTTATCTATTTCATATTCTGAATACATCAGAGGTATTATGAAAAGTACAGTTAAATAGTGAAGATAGTCTTTATGTATTTTGAAAGTGTGCATTTTAATTTGCTTTAATTAAAAAAACTTACTGTAAAAATTTCAGCCCACACAAATATGAACAGCAATTTTCAAGTTTTTTTCTGCCCACTTTATGGGATCTCAGGACCCCTTTATACTCTTATTCCCAATCATGGCCAAACTTCCAATGGGAAGTCAACTAAAGGTGAAGCTGAAGGGAAGGGACACATATGACAACATACCATTTTACAGATTTCCACCAAAAATGAAAAATAATTTCATTTTTAAATATTGGCTCTTCAGTAACTAACTTGCAAAAATTTCAAATTTTTAACAATCTGTTGTCATGAATCAGTATAAACTGCCTCCAGCACGCTGCTGAATGTAACTATCAGTATTTCTTACACTAGACATATTTAACTCATGAATTTTTTAAGTAATTTCTATGCTCAATGTGAGGCTCTAACTCATGACCGAGATCAAGAGTCACATGCTCTACTGACTGGGCCAGCCAGGCACCCTAACCCAGAAAATTTTTCCAAAAATTCATTCACTCATTACTGTAAACCCACTACACATTAACTTAAATGACATTTAATGAAAAATAATGTGTTTCCCCACCAAGTTAGTGAGAAGCTTAGCACTGTCTCATATTTTTGCAATTCTCTTTAATGACTGGCTTAAGAGAAGACAGCTGGACTCTCTCAGCTGCTTCTGCATTTGATCTGTTCCAATATGCTGTTCTGGGATGAGGCTGAAGAAAACAAGGTCTCACAAAAATATGTAAGTGAAAAAAGAGTATTTTCCTACTTTTTTCAGATAATTGTGAATATTCTTTTTTGATTACTACAGTAAGAAAGTGGTAGGTTTTTAAGGGTTAGTTGCAATGTAGAATCTGAAATCATACACATTTTTGCATCAGTTACACCAAAATCTGTTACAAGCTGCATAAATGTCTGATTCATCCCTAATTTTCTATTATACACTGGTCATTCAGAAAATACTGGTTCAATGAATGATACAATTCTTGTAAATGTTGGGGCATTTCATTAAATACTATCCAAAAACAAATCACAATTAGGTAATACCACCTACTGATGTTATCAGAGATGTCTTAAAGTACTGGGAAATGGTTACTTTATCAATAGCAACAATACTGTCACTTTCCTTGATCTAACAGATCACTTCAATCACTTGAGTACATCTGCCAAACAGTCGAATCTAAATTATCAGTTTGTCTTTCATTCAAGTAAAAATGTTCCATGAAGAAAAGTTTAAGTTGTAACTCAAACAACTGCAGAAGTGCTTTTCCTCCAGAAAATCATCACAAGAAGTGTTTTATGCGGGATGCCTGGGTGGCTCAGTCGGTTGGGCCGCAGCCTTCGCTCGAGCCATGATCCCAGCATCCTGGGATGGAGTCCCACATCGGGCTCCTTGCTCAGCGGGGAGCCTGCTTCTCTCTCTCTGCCTCTGCCTGCCACTCTGCCTGCTTGTGTTCTCTCTCTCTCTCTCTCTCTGACAAATAAATAAAATCTTAAAAAAAAAAAAAGTGTTTTATGCATACTTTCCACTTCATCACACAGAATATTTTAAGAATGTATACCCAAGGGTCAGAAAGGTAATAATATCTATTCTTCATCAAGAACATTTCTTTCTTTTTGCAATCAAGACAAAAAAATTTTAAGTGAAAGTGGCAGCTTTTAAAAATGCAAAGAACATGGGGCACCTGGCTGGCTCTGTTGGTGGAGCATGAAGCTCTTGATCCCAGGGTTGTAGGTTTGAGCCCCGCACGTTGGGTGTATAGATTACTTTTACAAAAACAAAAACAAACAAACAAAAAAACCTTAAAAATTTTTAAATTTATAAATAAATAAATAAAGTGACTATTAGTACAGTTTAGAGCCACTGTGTTGATCTGGGCCAGGATACTAAACTACATAAGTCCAGTTTTAGCAACTTATGTTTCTGTACCACCAGTACAAATGCTGATACAGTAAAAAGGGCAAATGTCTTAGTGTTGGTGTAAAGACAGTTTTAATTACAAAGAATCCATGGAACAGTCTTAGGGACTTGAAGAAGGGGTTCATGGACTACCCAAGAACCCCCTATATAGTGCAAAAAGCTGAAGTCCTTAAGTACTTCTCTTCCATTCCTTACCCCCACCTTAGCGGTAACCACTTTGAAAAGTGTGGTCATACCACCCTTTAATACACACACACTTGCATCCCTGTATTTGGTAAAAATGTAATGCAACATGTATCATTCTGAAACTTTGTCTCTTGAGACTTATTTCCAGATCTACCTTATTCTTTATTCCACAATCTAAATACATTATAAATTTGCTTAACCATTTTCCCCTATTAGGCATTCAGGTTATGTCTTTAAAAACAGTACAATCATGGGGCGCCTGGGTGGCACAGTGGGTTAAAGCCTCTGCCTTCAGCTCAGGTCATGATCCCAGGGTCCTGGGATAGAGCCCCACATCGGAGCAAAGAGCCTGCTTCCTCCTCTCTCTCTGCCTGCTTCTCTGCCTACTTGTGATCTCTATCAAATAAATAAATAGAATCTATTAAAAAAAAAAAAAACCAGCACAATCAGTATCTTTTTTTTTTTTTTTTTTTTTAAGATTTTATTTATTTGAAGGAGAAAGAGATCACAAGTAGTCAGGACAGGGCAGCAGGCAGAGAGAGCAGGGGAAGCAGGCTCCCCACTGAGCAGAGAGCGCAATGTGGGGCTCGATCCCAGGACCCTGAGATCATGACCTGAGCTGAAGGCAGAGGGTCAATCCACTGAGCCACCCAGGCGCCCCTACAATTAGTATCTTTGTGTAAATATCTTCAATGGGTTAGTGTTCTGGAGCCATTTTGATTATTAAAAATCTGTTCAACAATTCTTAAAACTTTATGCTATAATTAAGGAAAATCTAAGAACCTGGTTAAAATCAATGAGGAAAAGCTCAATTATAAACATGTATCAGAACCAGTTTTCCATTTTTCTGGCTGTTGGTGAAAAAACTAAATTTAAGAGGCAAAAGATTCCATAGAATGCTGACTATTTATGGGTATCAAAAGTAAGCTGTACATGCAGCTAATGGCAGCTATGTTATCTTTTTTTTTTAAGATTCAAAATTTTTTTTATTTTTAGGTAACCTCTGCACCCAATGTGGGGCTTGACCTTACAACCCTGCAACTGAGTCACACGCTCCACTAACAGAGGCAGCCAGATGCCCCAGCTATGTATGTTTAAGAACAATTTCAGCTCAACACCTTATCAACATAGATAACAATGTTAAAAAAGCAGGATTATCCTCCTTTAACCTACCATCTAGCCCTACAGTTCTACAGCCAATTACCAAAATGACACAAAGAACTGACAATGGAGATGGTGAAGCTGATGTGGAAAGAAAAAGACCTTTATGAACTATAAATTCTCAGTAGCATTATTTAATTTTAATTTGACCTAATAACAACAGAAAATTGTTTTAAGGTAGATATGTTGGTATTTTAATTTCTACTTAAAAGCAGTGTTCTAATACTACAGAAAACATAATTGAGAATGACTTACCATCTTCAAAGGGTGTCCCTTCTGGTCTGAAAATGAGAAGATTTCTGATTAAAAGATGTTTCATTCTGCCTTTTCCTGATTTTTTTTTTTCCTCTCCTAAAGTAGGCTTCAGGCCCAGTGCTGAGCCCAAAACAGGGCCCAACCCTAAGACCCTGATATCCAAAATCTGAGCTGAGATCAAGAATCAGCTACCCAACTGAGCCACCCAGGTGCCCCGTTTTCTTGATTTTTAAGAGTGGAAAGGATAAACTCAAACAGAGAAAGAGGGGCTCATTTTAATGACTTGTGGAGTTTTAAAGATATTGTTTAGTATTATCCTAGCCCTAGATTTTTATAGACGCAGGCATAAAGAATAACTATTTTCTAAGTTCTCATGTTTTAGCACACAATTTTAGCACACAATTCAGTTCCTAAATACCAGTCATTTTGTAAATGTGTATTCTTAAGAGAAAAAAACTTGTATTTTCAATTTACAACAATAAGATAGAAATACCCTTTAAGGGGGCGCCTGGGTGGCTCAGTGGGTTAAGCCGCTGCCTTCGGCTCGGGTCATGATCTCAGGGTCCTGGGATCGAGTCCCGCATCGGGCTCTCTGCTCAGCAGAGAGCCTGCTTCCCTCTCTCTCTCTCTCTCTCTCTGCCTGCCTCTCTGTCTACTTGTGATCTCTCTCTGTCAAATCAATAAATAAAAAATCTTTAAAAAAAAAAAAAAAAAAAAAAAAAAGAAATACCCTTTAAGATAACTGTACCAAACCAAAGTGTCCTGCTTCCCAACAAAGCAACAGCTCTGTTCAAAACAGCTAGACAGAACTGACTGTAACGAAGAAACCCCACTTTCTTTTGCTTAAATCTTTTCCCTGCCTCCACATCCCAATTTCATCTTTCCTAAGCAGCACCATGAAGTTCAATTATTTTTTGCAAGTTAGCCTGAATTTAATATTTAATATAATCTCTTTAGAAGAATAAACTAACTTAATTTTTCACTATTTAACTCATAACTAATTCAATGGCAACTCAGAATTCCACTTATGAAGGTGTTCCTTCCTTTAAAGTTTTAGTGCAAACCCTCGTTTTGAAAAGCATGAAAGAAAAAAGACCAAGCCCAGAAAAGCAGAAAAAAAGGCATAAGGAAATTTTAAATCAGGAAGCATATACGTGGGGTGCCTAGCATATAATGTGGTTAAGCAGCCAACTCTCGATTTATACTCAGGTCATGATCCTAGGGCTGTTGAGACTAAGCCCTGTGTAGGGCTTGGCACTAGCTGTGGAGCCTGCTTGAGATTCCCACCCCACTCCCCGCCCCGCCCTTCTGTTCCCACCCCCCCAACCTGTTTCTCTTGGAAAAAAGAAAGAAAGCAATATTCACAATATATATAATGTATTAAACATTTTTTGTTAATTCTTGCCACACCGGAAGCTCTGAGCATTTTTTAATTCTTAGTCTTTTTGTATTTTTAAAAGAATGAAATGCAAGCATAAACATTTGGTATATTTTGTACAAAATAACTTACCCTTTCTTTTCAGTTTCAAATGATATTTTTAATCAGGTAAAACTCAATGATTATAAAATCACAGGCAGTAACACCAACACAAATTTTACTTAACTGCAAAAACACTTTGCAGAATTTAAAAAAAAATTTTGCAGCTTTTTTAAGAGCCCCTGATTCCACTTCAGCCTCTTTGCCTAATTGACACATTCACTTTTCTTAAAGAATTACTATACCTATCATTTGTTTTATCTTTCTACTCACCCAAATATAACTGCATTCCACTGCATAATATTGTTTTCAGATGGTGCACCACTGACACCCACAGGTGGGTCCTCTTGCAACCTAGAAATCCACAGTAGTAATTTTCAAAGTTGAACATTAAGGTCTCTACGCAGGCCAAAGAGAACCGTTATGGACTATTCTACCTACTTTGACACAAACTAAGTCATTTCCTTGTTCTTGTGTTGAGGTGGGCTAAACCATATGACTTAAAAATAAATACCTCTCCAAATGGTCTAAATTCCGAACAGCTTTGGACTCAATCCTCTCTGATTATGAAGGTTAAGATGTATCTTCAGGAAGTTATGCATACAGACTGCCATTAACAACAAAAATTAAAAGCCCCAATTGCAAAAACCATTTTCACAGACCATCTTTTTTGCTGCTGTAAATATGGAAAGGCGGTCTGTGTGAGTCTAAACCATTGCTACCAATGCAACATGGCCACCAACCCCCCACACCAAGGCAAACATTAAATGGCTAAAAACACTAATATTCAATTTAATTAGCAAACTAGTTTTAAGCAGGAGAGTAGCTTTATCCCATTTGCTTCAATTAGCAACAGCTTTTAAAATAACCAAGCCTCAGTTATGTTTTTCATCTGTCCCTATTTTAAAGATCTGCGCTACAGCTAAATCCACCTCTCCTATCAGGAGACCCAATACAAGGCTACTTTCCAACATCTGTCACAATCAAATTCTCATAACCTGAAAACCCTTGGAAAACTACCAAAGGTGCTCTGTGTTCAACTCAGAATTTAACAGAGATGAGCAGTGAGAAACCAGAGCAACAATGAACATAAACTGGAAGTTTTATTACATGGCTTTCACTCATCGGAGTTAACATGAAATTTGATTTTAAGCTGGAGAAGATAACTTTTGCACCAGAGCATCTCCTTGTAAAGGCTGTCATTTCAATAGAAAAATAAAGGAGTCATTTTATACACGTATCTGTATGTAGTGATTGTCATCGGACATGATACTTTGAAATTAGGCTTTTCAAATAGTTTTCAGTCAGGCTCAAACACATCAAGCCACACGACTAGAAGCCTTTAAAGAATAAGGCTGCTTCTCGCCCACCAAAGGTAAACGGTTCATTACGAATACATTCAATGATAAAACTGCCCAAAGCCCAAAAGAACGGCTTCCAAATGCCTCACCTATGCCTTTATAGTGGCGGAGTTGAAAGGCTACTTCCTGAGCAGCTAACCTAAGTTTTTATATTAGATATTTTGTCTCAATCAGGGCAGCTCTCTCCAGGAAAACAAAAACAAAAACAAACCACACTCAAAAATGTGCAGTGGATCGTAATGCTAAGTTTTCTCATTATCCCCCCGTACCTCCAAGCATTCAAAGGTAAACAACTGAAAAAAAGTCACTTCCTCCTCACTAACCCAAGCACCACCTAACAAAACCCTATTTTACAAAAGGAGGCCCAGGGAGTATCGGGTTAGCGCCAGTCCCCAAGGAGGCATTTTTCCAGACTTTGGAGGCTATAGATAGGGCTTTAGACACCAGGCCACAGAGCTGAGTTCCAGAAGGCACTGGCATCCCGGGCTGCCAGCCCGAGTCCCAGGTCTCTAAGCCAGTTCTCAAGGTCCCTTCGGGCGGGTGAGGGAGAGTCGGGTTTCGGAAGATGGGTTAACCACCTCCGGACCTCGCGCTGCAGACCCCACCCTCACTGCAGAAAGAATGGGAGGGGCGCTTTTCGCCCCAACCCTGCCCCTCAGCGAAGACCGCAGGGCTATCCGGGAAAACTGGTGCAGCGAGCAAGAAAAAAGATTCTGCAAGGCTTTGCTTCTGGGGCACAGGGGCGGACACGACAGGATGCAAGGGCGGAGAGATGAGGCTTGAGCTCTAGGGCCAACGTCGGGCAGCTGACCCAAGTGGGCAGCGGGGAATCCTTGGACAGACCACAGCCATCTTTCTTCCTCTGGGGGCGGGGAGCGGTAATCGAAATTTCTTGCGTCGGAAGAGTGAGCAAACAAGGATGGGGGAGTGCGAATGGGGGCTAGGACTGGGCTTCCGTCGGTACCGCTGGGCCCACGGTCGGCCCTCATAGGGTTATGAGAGGAAAGTGTCCCGGATCCCCGCCCTGCAGCCCCGCAGCTATGGGGAGGAGCCTTCAACCAGTCGAAGGTGAGGGCCCTTACCGCTTGAAATCCCGCATGAGCCTCCTCCGGGCCGGAGTCGACATGCTCCCCAGCTGCCCCGCGGTCAGTCTGAAAGAAAAGAGTCCCGCGCAGCCCCCCCACCCCCCGGCGCGGCGGCCGAATCACTGAGGGTCACCGCCGCCGCCGAGGCTGCACAAACAACCCTGCAATGACGTCTCCCTCCGCCGCCTCCAGATCCCTCCGCCCTCCGCCAGTACCACGCAGTGAGGGTTGGGGGAGAAGGGTACGGGACGTATGAGAGCTCGTTACGGGAGCTTTTGCGCAAGGTTCTATCCATTTGGGCTTCCCGATCTAATCGATAAGTCAGTGTTCTCTGTTCTCAGTCTGGAGATTGTGGATTAAGAAATCCCGAAACCGAAACACCATCCTGTGTCTCCCCCTCTCAGTACTTTAAACTCGACCGGGTGGGGACAGAGAGGCGCATCCGGGGCCAGAGACTTCAGGGAAAGGAGGTGGGATGACGTAAGGTCACGTGACTGCCGGCGGCGTTGTCAACAATCCACCCCTGAGGGGGAGGGGACGAAGTATCTAGAACCACGTGTCCCTCTGACGAGATTAGAACAGATCACGTGGGAGTGTCGTCTGAATCTCAGTCAGGTCTGTGGAGCAAATGATTAAATTTATGGGTGTGCGGACGGGGAGAGGTTTTTTCTAGTTTTTCCTCCAGTTTGCTTCATGAACAGGGTCGGCGATCGTGGCGGAAGGAAAAGCCTGTTTTATTTCTTAATTGTTTAAAACAGAGCCAAAAATAATATAGATTTAAAATCTTGTTGGTTCAATGGCTTATCAAATCTGGTACATGGGACAGAGAGAGGGAACTTCCATTTTTTTAATAGTAAGTGCAGCATTGCAATATTAAGGCCCACACCAAGTAAAATTCCCTGAAATGCTCCCATAAGGTCACCAAATAACCTGTATGTGCATTACGCTGGGGTTGCCAGGGTTGGAAATTTTGAGGACAAAAAAGAATGGTATAGAGATTGTCAGAGGTTTGTTGACTATCTCTATGGAATTACATTCTAGCAGGAGTCTGCTCTCATTTGAGGATTGGTGTCAAAAATGTGTCAAAGTCAATGGATTTGGCTAAGATGAGGGTACATGGAAATGAAATCTCAAAGCATTTAGAAGGGTACTTGGTTGTCAAGAAACCTTACAAATATGACTCGGATGTGGGGAAGAGATTTTGCAGACATGGGTGGGGGTTATGTATCTAACTCGGATAACTCACCTCACTCTTCTACACCAGCAAGTAAGGTGCAAATGAGCCTGAAATGTCACCCACCACCAGGGAGCTCAGAGGTGTTGATGCAGCCTGTGAGGATTTTGACATTTCCTTGAGTTCCCTCCTTCCATTGTCTTTGATTCCTCGCCTCGGGGCTTTAATGGTCTGGAGGACTCAGAGATCTTTACATACTTCTGGGTAATTCTCCAGCCCAAGGCCAAATGGAATCATTGCACCAAGTTGCCCATAGTTTCAGGGAAATTGACACAGTTAATTTCCCCCCACTTTCTTGCTACCTCCTTTTCCTGAAGTCTTGAATTCTGTATTTTGCTTTTATAACTGCCTTGGTGATCAAGTTAGCCAAGCCTAACTCTTAATAGGTTCTGTGATGCATTTACAAATGAGATTCTCCAAATTAAAAGCTTAATATTCTCATTTTTTGCCTTCCTGCCATAGTGATCCTAACTCTCCCCAGGATATAGCTAAAGATGAAGACATACATGTAGGTTCACACGCAGTGAAATGGTAAAGATAATCTCCAAAAATACCGTATTATGTCATTTACCTAACAATGTGTAATTGTTACGGAAACTCATAGTTTATGGAGGCTGTCAAATCAGCAGAACCCCATGTCCAGTTCTTAAGCAATAGTTAATGGTCCTCCCTCCCCCCGCTCTGCTGCGCCCTTGTATGTCGGGCCACGTCGGTCTATCTAACGAACCCTTTTACTTGTTTTCCCTAAGAGGGTGTTTTTTAAAAGGTGTTCTACGAGTCGAAAAAAATTTTTTTAAGTATGTAGCAGTAAAAGGTGTTCAAGAAACATTCTTGATTTGACAAACGTCTTAACCTCGTTTAAAAGATGAATTTCGAAGCTGAGATCGAACTCAGGTCTATGAAATATTAATGTCACTAGCTAACTTAGACGACTATAATTACACAAGACTTCCTTGGAAGACTAGTTTTACAACATGTTTCTACTTAACGACTCCAGCCATCCTTTTAGGACGCTGAGCCAGCGGCAGAAGTTCTTTGTCCTGGGGGCATCTAAGACGCAGGTCGGGCAAGCCTCCGCCTCTCTTGCCCCTCCCTAAAAGACACGCAGACGCTCGGTGCAGTAAAATGTGGATTCTCCTCCACCTCTGCTCAAAACCAGCCTTGTGAGTTGGTCTCAACCCATATACTTCCCACCGCAAGCCCAAAAAAGCTTTCACTTGGCACACACCGAGGGCTCATTTTCACCATATCTCATTTTCTCTTCCGGGTCGTGCCGGATGCGACTGATGTTCCGGTCTTGCGCAGTAGGCCCTGAGCGCGAGGTCAGCGGCAGTGTTGCCATGGTAGCGGGCTCCCTGGAGCTAGCCGGGCTGGCAAGCTAAATAGGGTCGGTGTCCATTTGTTCCGCCGGGTCTGCGGCGGAGCCAGGCCGGCGGGACTACAAAATGGGCTGAGACGTCGGCGGCTAAGCGGACGAGGTCTACTGCAGGGCAAGGGGTGCAACACTGGTCCGGGACCCTAAGAGGTCTGGTTTGAGGAACCGGCGGGGCTGAGGTTTTCTTCGGTCCGGGGGTCTAATCTGTGCGCCACGGCAGTATTTCGGGAACCCCATAGTTGAGGGCCATATGACGGGAAGTATGCGGACCCCATTCCTGATGAATTGGTGACGGGTAGTGAGGGAATCTGAAATCGTGTTCATGGGAATGACCGAAACAGCAGGAAGCTCCCTAATTTCTGGTGAGCGCTGGAGCCCCACAGGGACACCCTACTGTCTAGTTGGCAGAGTTACCGAGGACAAACAAGCATCTGTGGAAAAGATTAATATTTTCCATGTTTACGTCTTTTAAAATACGGGTGTATTGTGGAAATGCAGTATCCAGCTTGAATAAATAAAAGTAAAAATGTTTAACTTTTTTTTTTTCCTTTATTTTTATGAAGAATCCGGACTTGAAAATGGAGATGTATGAAACCCTCGGAAAAGTGGGAGAGGGAAGTTATGGAACAGTCATGAAGTGTAAACATAAGGATACTGGGCAGATAGTGGCCATTAAGATATTTTATGAAAAACCGGAAAAATCTGTCAACAAAATTGCAACGAGAGAAATAAAGTTTTTAAAGGTTTGCTTCTTTTACCTTAATTGCTATAAATCAAGAGAGGAATTGTTATGGAATAAAAAACTATATAAGGAATCTTTTAGTTAACACATGTATGAAGACATAGAGTAGACATAAAATAGTGTGGTACCTTATTGTCTACATTTTGAAATTTTATAGTGATACAAGATATATATGCTTATATATAATGTAACAAAAATTATGCCAAATATTAAATATTTTTCAGAAATAGTAAAAGACAGTATCTGCTCTAAAGTACTTTTATTGTTTAATCAGAAAGATGGAAAGTCACTTGAAAACAATACTGAATATTGTATTGACTCATAATAAATGCCAAGTGATTAACACAAAGTCCAGTTAAGTAGAGAAATTTTTTTGGAGGAAATGGCACATGTATTTGGTCTTAAAGGATGTGCAAAATTTAGGTAGGAGGTAGAAACTATTGTATTCTAGTTTAGGGGAACAACATAAACTCAGATGTCCAAGCACGAAAAAGAACAGAGAGCAGAGACATTGGTTGGTCTGTAGAGTTTTTTTGTACAGAGTAGAAAGAGGTGAGATTAGAGAAGTAAACTGGAGTTAGGTTCTAAAGTCTTGGCTTAAAAGGACAAACTTTGATTTTGTAAGAGGTGGAAGGTTTTGAATTCAAAATAAAGCAACTATATATAATAATTTAGCACTATTTTTTAGAAAAGGCTGGAAGACAGAGTAAAAATAGGGAGGTCTGTTATAAATTTAATTCAAGAATCCTGGTAAATATCATGAGAATCCTTGCTGGGTTGCAGCAACTTGAATTTAAAGTTAGAAAAGCAAAGTTAAAATAGAATATATTGCAAAAGAAGACATGAAAGAATGAAGAAGGAAACAGAGGGAGGCAGAAGAATTAATGAAGTTCAGTGACTGTTCTCACTGATGGAAATATGAAAGACCCAAATGAGAAATGGACTGGAAACTAGTTCAGTTTTAGAAATGTTGAATTTGATGTGACAAGAATATATTTAAGTAAAGCTGACTAGTATGGTTTTAGAAATGGGATGGAAAACAGAATTTTGTGTAGGTATGACAGGTCAACCCAAGGGAAAGAACTTAGGACTGTGAAGAAAGGAGCATTAACATTCCTTAGGGATTAGGGTACAAAACTAGTGATTAAAAAAATATTTAAATCTACATATTTTATTTATTAGAATTTATCTAGATGCTTTAAGGTTTATGACTTTGACAATATAGTCTAGATGTTTTATGTGATGAAGAAAACAGTCTTTCATTTTTATCTGATACAAAAGTAATATTCACCTCTATTTTATAATTGAAGTATAATTAACATACAATGTTATATTAATTTCAAGTGTACAGTGTAGTGATTTGACATTTCTTTACATTATTGAATGTTCACCATCAAGTGTAGTCGTCATCTGTCACATACAATGTTATTGACCATATTCCCTGTGCTATACTCTTTGTTTCTGTAATTTTTTTTTTTAGTTTTATCCCCGGAAGTTTGTACCTCTTAATCCCCTTTTATCTATCTCACCCACTCACTTCCCTCTGTCCTCTCTGGCAACCACCAGTTTGTTTTCTGTATTTAAGAGCCTGCTTGTTTTTTTTAAAAGATTTTTATCCATTTATTTGACAGACAGAGATCACAAGTAGGCAGAGAGGCAGGCAGAGAGAGAGGAAGGGGAAGCAGGCTCCCCACTGAGCAGAGAATCCGATGCGGGGCTTGATCCCAGGACTCTGGGATCATGACCTGAGCTGAAGGCAGAGGCTTTAACCCACTGAGCCACCCAGGTGCCCCTGATTTTTTTTGTTTGTTCATTTGTTTTGTGTTTTTTGGA